AAAGGTACAAAGACTACTGTACAAAGAATCGAGAAACGTTCTGGTTTAAATAGATAAAGTAACAACTATAATCAGCTTTCACATTTCAATGTATTTAAGGCAATTATTATTTTACATTGTGAGAATTGCTACCATTTGTCTCTACATATTGTCTGTACAAGACGTGGTAAAAGTGGTTGTTTTACATGCAAATGTCATGTGATAATCTTTTTGTCATCCTTAAAAAAAGTGCTGGATATCAAAGCCCTTACTGTATCTTATCAGTTGGATTGTGTATTATTGTATAGTTGGGGTCCTTTTTATTTTAGAATCGTTTTTCATGAGACAGTCAATTTAAATATTTGTCCTATGCCATATTCACATTCATTTGTAACACACACGTAAGGGTAAAAGACAAACATCTTCAACAAATGTAATGCAATGAATAAGCTTCATTGTCACAGAAGCACACATAACGTCATATCTAATATTTAAACAAATCATTTCCTTGTCCCTAAAGCATTGACTGAGCTATTTTTCGTCCTCAAATGCAGGCATTAAGTTTCATGTTCACGTTCTGCTGCCACAATAAGTCGGTTTCTCCAGTGTAATGATAATAAAATGCTAAGTAAGTATTGGTAATAATATTAATAAAAACAACAACGTTTGGGTTCGTTCGTTTAATATGATGAACGTTAACCAGTAAGCTTCAATAATGAACTCCAGCTCAACAAACCATATTGCAATATCTACGTCAACGTTATTTCTGGAACCAACTGGAAATGTGAGATTCATATTTTTCAGATACACAGATCTTAATCTATGGGTTAATCTCATACTCTGCTCTTCAACACTAATGTGACGCTAGCTGTCTGCATCGTCGAGCATAGCTATTTTAAATTAACAATAACAATGCATACAGTTACCTAACTAGCAAACTAACTAATGTACAAGCATGACCTTATTTTACCAACCTCACCGAGAAGCCTTATGTTTTACAGTATAATCCTTCTTAATGTTTTACACTTCTCTATTATGTTTTAACTTGTATACTACGGATAGCATCGTTAGCACAGATGTAGCTTCGTCTCGCTTGTTAGCTGAATAAAAAGACAAGTAAGAAATAAAGTGCTTGAATTTCACTTACCGAATAAACTGCATTCATGGACGGTCTGTTTGAACCGCAGAGCCATAAGATAAGTGCGATATTTCAATGAAGAATACTCCACCAGGCATCAACACAACAAACACGTCCGAGTAGCAGCCTGGAGCTAATGAAGCTAACGGGGCTAGCAAAGAGACCACTAGCAGATTACTTCCGTTACATTAGAATGACTTCCGTTACATTAGAATGACTTCCGTTACAGCAAGAATCCCCTCACACACACACATAGGTGAAACACATGCACATTCCCTACTGAGAACCTTTCAGTAAAATGTTTTTCAGGAGTGTGTGAGGTTAATTTTCAGGAGTGTGTGTGCGAGGTGTTCAGTAATGAATGTGAGAGGATTTCAATAATGTGTGTATGACGTTAATTTTCAGTAGCGTGTGTGTGAGGTGTTCAGTAGTGAATGTGAGAGTATTTCAGTAGTATGTGCAGTGGCGGCGGGTCATTAGGGGCAGGTGGGGCACAGCCCCACCTAGTGTCAGAAGAAAGTATTACAAATAATGATTACTAAAAAATAAATAAAAAAACATATAAAATATATTTTAAGGTCATGTTTAATAATCTGATTCGTCTGTACATTTCTGTTTTAGTCTGTGTTCTTCTAATTAGTGTCTAGAGTGCCGTTTTGAGCTGTTTAGAGCCATGTGGGACAAAACCCGATCCTGCTCCTCCCTCTCACAGTCTAAGTGAACGGTGATTGTAAAAACTACACTGCGCATGCTCAGAGTATTTTTCTATTTAATGTGTGTGGCAAAAAAATAATGACCGTAGGGGCATAGTGCTCCCATCCCCACCATACGTCATCTCACATAATTCAGAATTGATTGGCTGTAAGTACTCACGTGTGCAGTGCTGCAAAACGTCACAAGCAGCATATAGCTAACATCACCAGCGATTAAAAGAAGTAAAAAACTGAAAGAAAATGAATGAAGTTGACCATTTACTGGAGCACACATTTGAGACACTTAGTCTCGGAGAGAAACTGGAGGTAAAGCGCCTCGGTGCCCACCATCCACCGGATTTCCAAATGGTCCAGACTGCGGGCAAAGTTAAACGTGGGTTTAACCCTGAGTGGTTTGCTAAAAAGAAATGGCTAACGGCGAGCATCCAGAAGAATTCCCTCTTTTGCTTTCCTTGCCTGCTTTTTGGTGAAGATCAAGGTACTTGGTCGAGGACAGGTTACAAGGACTTAAAGCATCTTTCGGAGAGGACAATGAAGCATGAGAGCAGCAACAGTCATTTGGAAAATGCCGTAAAATTGGGATTACTTGGAAGGGTGAATGTTGCAGCTCAGATTGACAGCGCCTACAGACGCGGCATTGATTCTCATAATAGGAAGGTGGAAGAAAACAGGTACGTGCTTGGTCGGATCATCACCTGTATTAAACTGTGTGGGAAATGTGAGACAGCACTGCGGGGCCACAACGAGTCGGCGGACTCTCTGAATCCAGGGATATTCAGGTCAATTTTCGAGACAATGTGTGAGGGCGATTCCAGGCTTCAACGGCACTACGAAGCTCAGCTTGTTTTCAAAGGGACATCAAGCACCATACAGAATGAACTCTTGGACTGCATGTATGATGTGTACAGGGAGGAAATAGCCAAGCAAGTGGACAACACATCATTTGTTGCCGTTCAGGCCGACGAGACAACCGATGTCTCCTGTAAATCGCAAATGGTGATTGTGCTGCGATACATTATGCCTGACCTCACAGCTACAGAGCGTTTTTTGGAGTTTGTGGAAGTAAAGGACAAAACTGGTGTAGGTCTCTCTAACAGCATCAAGGCTGTTCTGGAACCCCTGAAGCTGAAAGAAAAGCTAATCGCTCAGACCTATGACGGGGCGGCCGTCATGAGCGGTAACGTGCGCGGGGTACAGACGGTGATGAAGGAGACGTACCCAAACGCTCAGTTTGTTCACTGCTACGCCCACCAACTGAACCTGACCCTGCAGCAACTGTGTTCAGCAAGGATGAGCATCCTGAAGGTGTTTTTTGCAGATCTAACTGCTTTTTCCACTTTTTTCTCCGGTGCTCCAAAACGTGTTGCAGCTCTTGCAGAGGCAACACAGAGACGCATCCCACGGCCACCGGCTGTGAGATTGAACTTTAAAAGCAGAACTGTGAACGCGGTTTGGGAGACCCGAGATGCACTACTTCAGTGTATGAAGCATATACGCGCACAACCAGGATGGGATGCGGTCACCATAAGTGAGGCATACGGCCTGTCAAAGAAACTGCGGGACCGAGCATTTATGCAGCTCCTGGAGTTTTTTTCGTTGCTTATGCCAGAAGTGGATGTTCTATACAACACTCTGCAAAAACGAAGCATCGATGCACCTGGGATCAACAGCGCGCTCTGCCGTTTCAAGGAAAATGTTCAGAAAATGAGGCAGAAAACTGATGCATTGGCCGCCACTGCTCATGATGGAACAGACGAGCCAGGCCGACGAGTCAGCAGCACAGCGCCGGTGATGAAGGAGGCTTGTGACACAGTCATCTCACAGGTGGAACAGAGGTTCTCACAGTGACCATTTGATCGCTGCAAAGCTTGTTGACAGCTCATTCTTCCCACAGCATGTCCTGTCATTTCCTACACCTGAGCTTGACTGCGCCGTGAAACTGTGGCCTGCGTTGGGAAACAAGGAGAAGTTGAAGTCTGAGCTGACCACGCTCTACCGCCACAGTGAGCTTCACACTGGAAACACTGCCCTGTCTCTGTTGAAATCCATTCACGAGAACAACTTGGAGGAAACGTTTGCTGAGACTGTTATTTTGGTCAAAATAATAGTGACAACTCCGATGACGACATCCGAGTCAGAGAGGAACTTTTCCACCCTCAAAAGGATAAAGACTTTCACTCGCAACACCATGGGACAGCCGCGACTTAACGCATTGGCCATGCTTTCAATTGAAAGCCAGTTGATCCAGCAACTACAGGACTTCATCCCCAAAATGATAGACACATTCTGTCAGAGGAAGGACCGCCGTGCCGCTTTTCTTTTCAAGTGAGCCTTCAGCTTTGGTAAGTTCATTTATGTCATATATTTTGTTGATCTTCTGTGTTTTGCCTCTGCTGGATCGATTGATATTGTGACCTCGATGATGAGTGTCTGTGTTTTCCTTATATTTACAGTCTATGGTGTTTTAATGCTAAAGCATTACGGTTGTTGTTATTGTTAAGAATTACTTTGTGATGGTGACCTTTACTCCATGTATGAAGGTGCATTACTATGACATCCCCACGCTGTGTACGTAAATGTATGCGCTCACAGTGTTGCTCCTGTGGTCTTCAGTATGTAATTTGACACTCCCCCTCTCTCTCTCTCTCCTCCCCCCCTCTCTCTCTCCCCCCTCTCTCTCTCCTCCCTCTCTCTGTCCCCCCCCTCTCTCTCTCTCTCTCTCTCCCCCGACCTTTTTCTGCCCCCCCCCAGTTTTGTACACCTAGAAACGCCACTGAGTATGTGTGCAAGGCCAGATGTTTTCAGTAGTGTGTGTGTGAGAGGTGTTCAGTAGTGAATGTGAGAGTATTTCAGTAGTGTGTGTGCAAGGCCAGATGTTTTCAGTAGTGTGTGTGCTAGGTGAGTTTGAATTTTGGCCTACACGGCCCTTCATATCTAACTGTATCAACCACACACCGACCAGTCTCACACACACACACACACACACCTCTGTATACTTGCAGGGCTCAGCGGATTTAATAGATGCTACAAGTCCATATTATGCCTGTTAGCTATATGTTGAAACTCTTTTCTAGAGCCACCTATTCACAAAGCTTATAATCAATTCTATAGATTTGACATATATTTTATTCCATTTAGTACAATTTCATGGCTCTCCTCTCCTCCCTCACCTGTGATGTACATTTCCGCTCCTTCCAAGAACATCGTGTGACAGCGAGCACACCGGGCACAGCTGGGGTGGTAACGCTTCCCTCCAGCCTGAAGGAGAAGGAAAGGAAGGGAAAGGAAAAGTGAGAGGAAATAAATAAGGCAGAGAGCAGCTAGAGCAGATGACACAAATGAGGAAACGAGAACAAAGTGGTGATAGGAAATGTAGAAAAATAATGAGGAGTGGGGAGAGGCACGATAAGAAATGGGAATTAATCGGGTAGAAGAGATGGGAGAGTGTTGCTTTGTTGGTTTTTCCAAAGCTGCTTCTCCATCAGTCAACACTTCGCTCCTTTAAAGAGGGACAGCTGCGTTTTTTCGCAGCTTTTTATAGACCGACACACACACATGCCTGCATACAAACCCACACTTTCTGTCACACAGAGGCAAAATATGCTCATTCTCAATCTTGTTCCCATTTATCTTTAGCATGCACACATGAAAAATGCACTCACCTCAAGAACTCTGCCGCTGATGTAACGGTTACAGCTGTCACACCTGATCCCAAACTGAGTGTGGTAGTCACTCTCACAGTAAGGGATTCCATCTCTGCCAGGGACAACAAAAGATGTTCTCACTTTGATTTTACCTTCTGTTCCACTATTATCTATCCTGTAACACATTGTTTTGTGATACACGAGTCAAGGTACATAAACTGGAGCAAAACCAAAGATTTTTCAGTGTGACTTCCAAGTATGAACATGTTATGAACCTATTGTGCAAAATCCACTTTCTCATGTCTTTTATACATCAACATGTGTCCCCTCTGTGCAAAGAGATTCTGAAAGTTTCAGGAAAAAAGATTCCCTCACTTTTGTCCTGATCCATTCATATAAAAACCTCTCTGAAAATGAGCGGATCAGATTTCGGACACTTTATTATCTCATAACGAGTTTTTGGCTTAGCCAATAACCAACCAAGGTAACCCCCCCCCCCCACACACACACACCTTATCACCTGAATCTCCTCCTAGAGCACCATTAGTGTTTTTTAACCAAATATCTCTCAGAGGGGCGTGGGGAGTGGCTCCTTATTTTCATCTAAAGTAACAGACAGAGAATCAGCCCTTTTGAAACAGAGGGGATTATGGGATGCTGCAATGATCTGTTTGGTATTTCAAGCCAAACATTTCAGAGACATGTTTTGTATATATCTGAGACCTGTAATATATTGATGAAAAACAGTATAATAGGGGACCTTTACAGTTAAAAGTAGTTTACAGTAATTATCGGTTATTATCTTGCAAATAAAACTTGCTGATGGAAAAAATTATCTATATTTCCTGCATGACTTATGAGTGCTCCAAGTTTATTATAACACCTGCTTTAAGCAAATTGGTCCCAAAGCTTCAGATATGAAACAGAGAACGTGGATCACTTGAGAAATCTTTGATATTGGCTGGAACATTAGCTACAGTACAGACTGTACATACGGGGGATCAAGCCACCTACTTGCTGATGTACTCTCCAGTGAGCGGACAGCCGCACGTTCGGCATTTAAAGCAGCTGACGTGCCACTGCCTCTCCAGAGCCAGCAGGGACTGTCCCTGTTTGATCTCCTCCCCACAGCCGGCACAGTCTACAGGAGAGGGGGAATGCAGCATTGAGAAACACATAAAGAAAAGAGCACCTCCAACATTAACATCCCCTCCCTCCTCTCTGTCCTTGTCTCCCTGCCAACCTCCCATCACTCCTCTCCTCCTTCCTCTCTCCTCCTCATCCCTCATTCCTGTCCTCATCGTCAAACTGTCTTTGCCAGATGGAGCGACCAGAACCAGGCTAAAGAATACCTGGAGCTGCAGGCCACCTTCTGTGTCTGTGTGTGTGTGTGTGTGTGTGTGTGTGTGTGTGTGTGTGTGTGTGTGTGTGTGTGTGTGTGTGTGTGTGTGTGTGTGTGTGTGTGTGTGTGTGTGTGTGTGTGTGTGTGTGTGTGTGTGTGTGTGTGTGTGTGTGTGTGTGTGTGTGTGTGTGTGTGTGCTGTGTGTAGTGGTGTGTGTGTGTGTGTGTGTGTGTGTGTGTGTGTGTGTGTGTGTGTGTGTGTGTGTGTGTGTGTGTGTGTGTGTGTGTGTGTGTGTGGTGTGTGTGTGTGTGTGTGTGTGTGTGTGTGTGTGTGTGTGTGTGTGTGTGTGTGTGTGTGTGTGTGTGTGTGTGTGTGTGTGTGTGTGTGTGTGTGTGTGTGTGTGTGTGTGTGTGTGTGTGTGGTGTGTGTGTGTGTGTGTGTGTGTGTGTGTGTGTGTGTGTGTGTGTGTGTGTGTGTGTGTGTGTGAGAAATGTTTTGCAGCATTTGCTGGTCAGTAAAACTCTTCTGGTGCTTATTAACCTGTGCTGTACCCTCAGCCGTACGTGCTGGATGACAACAATTAAATTAAATGTTATAAATATAAGGAGGTGACCTAAAATCATTGCAACAGATGATGCTTGTTACTAAATGACCAAGATGCATGCACGTTTTTTTTAGTTGGTTGCACAGCTTATCAAAGGATAACGCTGGTGCTATGCTATACTTTTCATATGTTCATCAAACCCCATGAATGAAATAAAACAAACCAACCAAACACTTGATTATTCCTCTACGCCAAAGACAGAAAAACAGACCAATGAGCCACACTGTGTGCACTTATGTGTTCCTATATTGCTATTAAAATGATGACTGAAGTTAATTTGATTTTTGTCCCAGTTTATTTTATTTTACTAACAAGGGACTATGGACCACAGACGGTGAGAGGAAGTTAGAAAGTTTAGAGAGACCGACAAAAACTGGGTTGTTTTCACTCTTTTCATTGGATTTATTGACAAACGATAAGAAAAATGAAGACTTTATTACTAAAAGCTGGAGGGCTACCGGTTTCAGCAGTTTCTCTTATTTGTTGGAGAAGAAAACAACACTACAATTCGCTGGAGAAGACCATCCGATGCCTTAAAAGGTGGTGAGTAAGCCTTTGAGATAAGGAATACATCTATTCCACAATGTAGGAATGCACTGCATTGCCTCAAAATTGGATCTAATTGGCTGCTGGCAAGGATCAGAGGAGTAGATTTTACAGTATAATTATAGTCAATTGGGCTGTGTGTGTGCATATATTTGTGTGTGCGTCTGTGTTTGTTTCTTACAGCTTGGCCCGTGAACCTTGACGGGCTTGTCGCTTTTCAGAGTGTGTGAGCACTGCTGACACACACACTTCTTCCCACAGAAGGTCACCCTGTCTCCAATTGGGAATGGACTCCTGAAAGAAACACACAGTATTTCAGTAGAGCTATGCAGATATAATTATACTAAGGTTAGGTTGCCAAATTCACGAAAAAGTCACCTCCCAACCCGTACTGATAGAGTATCTATCTGTGCAGAAAGATACAACAGTTTGATTTGCAGACGTTTTGACAGATGGAACTGATTTTGTAATCCCAACATAATGGATGTGAACAGAATACTACGCACTACGCTCTGCATCAGGCAAACGACTCGCTGCACCCTCGCTGCGAGGGGGATCCAAGTTCCCATCAGCAAAAACACGTGGGTTTGCTATCCTGGCTCCAAGATGGTGGAATGAGCTCCCCACTGACATCAGGACAGCAGATAGCTTGCACATCTTCCGGCGCAGACTGAAAACTCATCTCTTTCGACTCCACTTCGAGCGATAGAACTATTAACAAAGCACTTATATACTAATAAAGGACTGGCTTATCTAAAGCCAGTTGAGTAGCACTTGAAAAGCGTCAGCTAAATGCAATGTAATGTAATGAATAGAAGCTGTTTGACATGAGATCAAGATTGCATTTTGTCTGCTTTTGACATTTAAATTAAGTTCAGTCAGACAACTCACTTGTTTCTTAATATGTTTATTATAAGCAGCATATAGTTTGTTTGGCGTCTAGGCTCGGGCCTCATCACTCCACAGATTACAAAGAACATTGAGTGATGATTAGATAACTATCCCCCGAGCCTACAGGTGGAAGCTGGGGTGGAGCTGGGGTGGTGGTGGGGCAGGCAAGCAGCAGCAACATGAAACACAGCAGCAGGAACATGAACGTAGCAATAGCAAGTGAACACAGCAGCAGCAGCAGCAGCAGCATAGCGAGGAGGCAGAGGCAGGAAGACCTGGCAGCTTAAATAGAGCGGCATGTTTAGGAGAATGTGTTTGGTTGGTTGTAAGAGGGACGAGGTGCGTCACGTGTTAATGTATCATTGGTGCTCGAGTTGACTGCCTGAACTAGCTCGCAGGCTTCGCCCCATTTAATGAAATCATAATTTCTCCCATAGCACCACTTTTATTGCTTCTCTAATTCCCAACTGAAGAATGTATAGTAAATCAATAGACCTTTAATATCCAGGGATGAAATATAATCCCCCCGATTATATTTCAGACTTTTTCCTAAACAAATAAATCAGTAGTTTCAAACTAATCCCTGAGTTCCACACAACAATCTCCTCATCACCTGATATTATTTCTCATATTTGGTGACACATTGCACATTCACTCTAGTTTACAGAGAATATGATTTCATCATACCTGACTGAATTATTAATACAAGGATGCAATAAAGTATAAATCAAAACATGCAGTAATGCCTTTCAGCCCGAGGGTTCAGCTGTAGCCACACTGTGAGGGCAAAGGTGTGCACCTGCAATGCAGCCTCAATAAATCACATTGTTATCATTGTACACAAAAATATGTCAGCAGGAGATTTCCAAAACTCTTCTGGTAGAAAATAAGCAAGCTAAGACCCTGATAAATGATCATCCTGTATTCAGGACCACATGTTTATATACTTGTTTGACATAAATTGATGAATTTGAGATATGTCCATTTTGTCTAAAAGGTCTGCTTGTTTGTTCTCTTTTTTTACATTTGGGTATTCAACACTTGAACTTAAGTTTAGCAAACAGATTCTTGGAAAGCAAATCCGCTTGAAGACCTAACAATTCCCAAATCGTTGATGGTATAATTCATTTTATTAATGCAGATGTATTTTCTCATATATAATTGAAGATTTTTCTAGATTTCTTCTTTGGTGATCGGCTATACTTAACACTTGGGATGTATCTATAAAAGGTAGAGAAGGTATTTTATAACAATCCATGATGCATCCACTGTGTTAAAAGTAAACAGACGTTGCTATACCTGTAGATATAACTTCATAACTTAAGTCAATACTGCCCGGCTTTATTATGTTTTAAGCCTCTCTTCTGGTCAGAGTTGTACACTTACACACATCAGAGAAGTGTTGGTGTGTTCGTTTGATGCACGGACAAAACTTCATTTAAGAGACACAATTTTATAGCAATTTGCTGACAGACATTTTCAAACGAGCATCATTTGCAATATCAGTATATGCAGTTCTTATTTACACACACACACACACACACACACACTCATGGGATGACTCCAAAAACTGTCACTATAAACAAACTAAAGCCTAATGATCCATCTTTACATCTCGCACACTGAGTGACTGATAGCCTTTATATATTTACTGTACTGCTTACAGTCACACTTTGTCTGCCAGCCACTTATCATATTCCCTCCAGCTTTGAGTGAACTGAACTGAAGCCAAAACTAAATGTACATGATATATAATTAATAAAGTGAGACCAGCCATCTAAAACATAACTAAGCGTTTCTTCCATATGAAGTGATTCCATTTGTTTGTAATTCAAATTGTATCAATTGCTCTTGGATGTGATCTTTCATCTACTGTTTGCTTCTTCTGATACACAAAAAACAATTACAATTCCTACTATTTTTTATATATTATATAAACGGTTAAAGTTATGTCATGTCTTTCCAAAGTCTAAGGACAATTTAGACCTGGCAATTTCATGTAGAGGCAGGTTGTGTCGAATTAAAGACACGATCAAGTTGCATTGTGGGAAGTGTATAATCAAGATGTTTTAAGGGTCCATACAATCACAAACTCCACAACTGTATGATGCTAAATCACTGACGAACCTCTTTAAATAGTGAAATAGCAACGGTTCATTGTAAATTATGTGTTTAAAACATGGTTCTGCAGTCCCCATTTATTTTCAGTAAAGCACTTTGTGACAAACCCTGGCAAAGGAGCGCTGCACTAATCTTTGATTTGTTACTTTTAATAAGCTATAAGAAGTTTTATTAGCGTTTCTTTACGGTCACCCACGGTCCAGACTCTGCAGCAGCTTCGCTGTGCACTTGTCGCTGAAACCCAACACAGACACAGACATTAAGTGGCCCGCAGAACTCGTACATCGGAGCATTTTAATTGTAATGGGGCACTGGTGGTATTCATGGGGATGTGAACAGACTTGCAAAGTAATTATGCCACAGCTCGAGAGTCTCATTTGTTGTTGTTGTAGTCACGAGTTGCAAAACTTTGCCAAGAAAATCCCCAAATGATAAAACTCAATAATACAATGATTATTAAAAAATTCAAACATTGGAATGCAAAACTCCTTCTACAAACATCGCCAACTAAACTATATTTCCAATATATCGTATTTTACCACCTTTATTAGGTCTACCAATATTTAATATTCCATCTGTCACAAACGTAAATATACATGTAAATATAATACCTTGCTTTATATCTTGTTATTGTTCATTTGTAAATTCAACATGTATATTTTCTACTTTCTTGTTTATTTCTTGTCTTTTAATTTGTATTGTACAATGCCATGTCTTTTTATGCTGCTGCAACACAAACATTTTCCAAATTGGGATCAATAAAGTACTATCATAATTTCACACAGCAACTAAAAGGATGTTTCTGAATACGAGGAGTATGTTGTGACTCCAGACACACTTGTTTACCTGCAGATGCTGCACACGAAGCAGTGTGGGTGGTACGTCCTCCCCAGGGCAGAGACCACCTCCCCAGTGATGTACTGGCTGCAGCTGTCACACTGGGTCCCATGGAGCCGCTGGTAGTCCTCAGTGCAGATGTACTCTCCGGAGTGGTGGAAGAAACCAGAGTGCACCAGATCACAGCCACACACTGAATACACAGAGAGAGACAGAAACAGCTCGCATCACTCCTCAGAAATACAGGAAGAGAAAAAAATGATTCAGTGGGAATACCAAAATGAGATAAAAGTTGGAGTTAGAGAGCTGTTCATAAGTAGTTTGCATGCATCAGGAATTTCTTATCATAAGCCATATCATGACTATAATTACATCAATACATATGATTAGAGGTGGGAAGTAGTGGAGTACAAATACTTTGTAACTGTACTTAAGTACATTTTTCTGGTATCAGTACTTTACTCCACAATTTTTCTGATGACTTTTTACTTTTACTTCTTACATTTGTAACACAAATACCTGCACATTCTACTTCTTACATTTTCAAAACAAGCTCGTTACTTTAGTTTTAATCTGTGTTTGGTGGCGTGATCATTATTATTTAGAGTCATTGCGTGCCTATTGATTTTAACATGATCCGTGTATCCATCATTTCCTGGTCTTCTCTAAACAAGAGGGACCAATGAAAAATGTGTCATTTTGCCGTTGTTCAGCATCGAAACATTCATTAGCTAACAATGACATTATTATTCTATTAATATAAAGGGAGGTCAGTTACTCTTTAAAACAGCTGGTAGTTATGGGTACTTTTTACTTAAGTACATTTCGAAGCCCATACTTTTACTTTGACTTGAGTAAAGAAGTTTAGTCAGTACTTCTACTTTTACCAGAGTATTTTTAAACACGAGTATCTGTACTTCTACTTGAGCAAAGGATGTGTTTACTTTTGGCATCTCTGCATATGATCAATATTTATCATACTATAATCGCATTTTTTAGCGGTGTTAATCTACTAATCTAGAGGTTCCACCTTCTGGTAGTTAACAGTACACATTGGCAGTATGACGTGTGTGGTGGTCAAGGGGGTTTGTTTGTTTTGAGAGCAATCTGTTGTTCTTTTGAACTCTTAAGGGTTAATATTGTAATCTGGTTTTCAGGATTAGACGAGCAACCATCTGATCTGTACATTTCTTTACAGTGTGTACAATAGAGCTGAAAAGATTTCTTAAATAACGGTTAACTGCAGTGCTTACTGAGGGTTATGGTTGTCAGTGCATATGAGAATCTAGTGTATTCAGCCTATGTGTTAACCTGATTTTGTAAATATATGTATTTGCATGTCTCCAGTGTTTTTACACACAATGAATACTGTACATCTAGAGTGCTGTGTGATAGATGGATGTCCAGGAAAAGAGACACGTGTGTTTACTATACAGCATGTCGTGACAGCATGATGTATAGCTTTCATTTAGCAAATGCAAAGTCCTTCAGCCAAATGATTGCTTGTGGTACAGCAGTGCTGAGGGTTACGAGGCCTCTGCTGAGCTGGTTGGTTACACACTTTATAAAAGGAGCTGAACAATGATATGCTCCAGCTAACAGGGAGGAATAAAACTTTACTGCAATACATTTACCTTGTACGTTGGAATTCAGACTTAGGAATGCAGCACATCTGAGTTGACCACATTCCAGAGTACAATAAGTCAGGAAACGTATTTACTTGGTATTTTCCACAGATACACACTGCAGAAAACATACCCACAGATTTCATGAGAAACAAATATGACAATTGTTAAGAAACACATTGTTACTACAACTTCAACTTGGTTGATGCACAACGCAGTAAACACATGTTCTTCAGGTTGGATTTGGTCTCCCAACTTTCCTAATCGGAGATTCGACTTTGTCCCAGTTGAGATTTCCTACAATTGCAATAGCCATTACTCTTAGCTCCTTTCAGTTTTGCAGACTTTTAAACAGCCATCCGGGAGCCAAAACCGAGCCACATAATTTGGTCATGCATGTCGACAAAATGAGTTGAATCCCTCATGCTGTCAGTATATGATATAACCTGTGAAAAGGCTCCGTTAGTGGAGGAAGAAACTGCACCGTATAGAAGCTGGATGCACTGTAATGTAGACATTTGAAATGCAGCCAACGGATCAACATATCTGACAGTGAATTGAATGTCTGGTCTCTAATTTAGCTAATGGCTCTAAACCCAGTGGAGTGAATGGATCTGATCTGATCCGAGCCGGTGTGTTAAGTGGCTCAGAGCGAGAAAGAGAGAGCGAGAGAGAGACAGGCTGCAGAGCAAGACGAGATGTCTAGCTACTTATTTATTTGAGGACATATGGCCAACAAAGCATCATTTAAGTTAACTGTATTCCTTTGCAAAGTGTTCCTAAAATAATGGATGAACTATTTGGTTTCTATTCGGAGAAAAATACTTTATGAAACCCAAAGACCATGGAGTCATGGTAGTTTTCAATTTCCTTTCAAAAGTATAATCTTACATTTTTATTTAGATATTAACATGGTATACTTGCTGTCCAATGCATATGTTGCTATGTCACTGGAATCACATAATATCCTCTAACTCCATCCATCCATCTTCTCCCGCTTATCCGTGGTCAGGTCGCGGGGGTAGCAGTTCCAGCAGAGAGCCCCAAACTTTCTTTTCCCTGGCCACATCAGCCAGCTCTGACTGGGGGATCCCAAGGCGCTCCCAGGCCAGCAAAGAGATATAATCCCTCCACCTGGTCCTAGGTCTACCCTCGGTCTCTTCCCAGCTGGACGTGACTGGAACACCTCCCTAGGGAGGTGCCCAGGTGGCATCCTTACTAGGTGCCCGAACCACCTCAACTGGCTCAGATGACTGAACTTCTCACCTTATCCCTAAGGGAAACGACAGCCACCCTGCGGAGAAAACCCATCTCGGGCGCTTGTATCCGCAATCTCGTTCTTTCGGTCATGACCCATCCTTCATGACCATAGGTGAGGGTAGGAACGAAAATGGCCCGGTAGACAGAGAGCTTTGCCTTCTGGCTCAGCTCTCTTTTCGTCACAACGGTGCGGTAAAGCGACTGCAGTACCGCTCCCGCTGCTCCGATTCTCCGGCCCATCTCACGCTCCATTGTTCCCTCACTCGAGAACAAGACCCTGATATACTTGAACTCCTTCACTTGGGGTAAGGACTCATTCCCTACTTGAAGTGGACATCGGTTTCCTGCTGAGAACCATGGCCTCAGATTTGGAGGTGCTGATCCTCATTCCAGCCGCTTCACACTCGGTTGCGAACCGATCCAGTGAGAGCTGAAGGTCGCAGACTGATGAAGCCATTACAACCACATCATCTGCAAAAAAGCAGTGGTGCAATCCTTAGTCCACCGAACTGCAGACCCCCTCCCCCATGACTACGCCTCGAAATCCTATCCATGTATATTACAAACAGGATTGGTGACAAAGCGCAGCCCTGGCGGAGGCCAACCCTCACCTGAAATGGGCCTGACTTACTGCAGAGGACCCGGACACAGCTCTCCTGCAGCACCTCCCACAGTAACTCCCTGGGAACCCGGTCATACGCCTTCTCCAAGTCTACAAAACACATGTAGACCGGAAAATCGTACTCCCAGGCCCACTCCAGGATCCTTGCAAGAGTAAAAAGCTGATCCGTCGTTCCATGACCAGGACGGAATCCGCATTGTTCCTCCTCAATCTGAGGTTCGACAATCGGCCTGAACTTCCTTTCAAGTACCTTAGAGTAAACTGTCCCGGGGAGGCTGAGTAGTGTGATTCAAAACCTTTATTTATCCAGGTAAAATCCCATTGAGATCAATGATCTCTTTTTCAAGGGAGACCTGCAGCAGTAGGTTCCACAAGAAGACATAAACAACAGAACAACAAAAGGACATCATACAGCAAAATGTACAGGGATTACAATTTACATATTTAACCACAAGTACAGGTACCAACAGCATCTGATTTTGTAGCATCCAACCGAGCTTTAAAAACATGTAGTGGTACTAGCTTGGTAATTTTCCATTCTTTTTGCAGACTGTTCCATGTTAGTGGAGCTGCACATCTAAAAGCTTTCTTCCCTAAGACAGTCCTAGCACTTGGCACATTTAATAAAACCACAGCATGCGATCTCAGGCAATAAGTACTTTCAATTCGCAGAGAGATCAGGGAGCAGATATAAGATGGTAGTAGTGATGCCTCTGTAAATTGGCACACACCCTCTGATCCCCCTTTTTGAAAAGGGGAACCACCACCCCGGTCTGCCACTCCAACCTCAGTGACCTCCCCACGGGAGATTGGTGTTGATCCCCCGTCATACTCCAGCTCTGCCTCTAACATAGAGGGCGGAGTAGTCGGGTTCAGGAGTTCCTTAAAGTGTTCCTTCCAACGCCCTAACACTCCATCAGTTGAGGTCAACAACGTCCCATCCTTACTGTACACAGCTTGGATGGTTCCCTGCTTCCCCCTCCTGAGGTGTCGGACAGTTTTCCAGAACAACTTTGGTGCCGCCCGAAAGTCCTTTTCCATGTCTTCTACGAACTTCTCCCACACCCGCTGCTTTGCCTCGGCCACGGCGGAGGCTGCTGCCCTTCGGGCCTGTCGGTACCTTGCAACTGCCTCTGGAGTCCCCCGGGATAACAAATCCCTAAGGCATCCTTCTTCAGTCGGACGGCTTCCCTGACCACCGGTGTCCACCAGGAGGTTTGAGGGTTACCGCCCCTTGAGGCACCTAAGACCTTGAGACCACATCTACCCGCCGCGGCTTCTGCAATAGAGGCTTTGAACACCGCCCACTCTGGTTCAATGTCCCCAATCTCCACAGGAATGCCCGAAAAGCTCCGCCGGAGGTGTGAGTTGAAGGCCTCCTGAACTTGGGCCTCCTCCAGACGTTCCCAGTTCACCCGAACTACACGTTTGGGCTTACCAGGTCTGTCCAGAGGCTTCCCCTGCCACTCGACCCAACTCACCACCAGATGGTGATCAGTTGACAACTCCGCCCCTCTCTTTACCCGAGTGTCCAAAACATACGGCCTCAGGTCCGATGATGCGATAACAAAATCGATCATGGACCTTCTGCCTAGGGTGTTCTGGTACCACGTACACTTATGAGCATCCTTATGTTCGAACATGGTGTTTGTTATGGCCAATCCATGACTAGCACAGAAGTCCAGT